CACACACACACACACACACACACACACACACACACACACACACACACACACACACACGTATATGCGCGCCGTGATAAAAATATTAGCCGACGTGTGCTATTCCTTCGCGTGGCACGGAAGTGCCGATTGCGTAGCATCCTTTTCCGAGGAAATAAAACGAGCGCAACGGTATGCATTGTGGAATTCCGTTAGAATGAGTATATATAATTTTTTAAGCGAAGTAAACGAAATTTGAATCTTCGCCCAATCGTCGCGACAAACCTAATTAATATTCGAGTGGATTCGTCATGAGACGTTATACAACTCCAAGAATTGATCATTTCCTTATTTTTACTTTTGCTTTCTTACGTTATTTATTTTTGCACGATATATCGGACTAAATTGAACGAGAGATGATGCCAAACCGAGGCATCGTATAAAGCGAAGAGAAAAGCCGCATATACGCGTTGACAATTTTTTTCCTGGGAAGCATCAGATTATTACTCTATTTTTGAACGACATCGTTTTTGTGAAATTTAATTGGCTGACTCTGGCGAATGCAGCATGTAATCTGGGCTTGGCTGTCTACAATTAACAGAGAGAAATTATTTTTGAGCGATAGTGTTGTTTTATAGAGAAATTATTTGTATCAGAGAAATTATTTTTCAGTGACACGTTGTTTTATGTATCAAAATAGACACAAAGAGGAAAAAGAGCCAGTTGATAAATCAATTTTGTTTCTTCGTCGAAGGAAAGACCCGATGGCATTGAACTGACTTCTTTCACGAATTAATCAGCGAGCCACATGTGTTTATTTCTTACCCCACGTGTGTTATCTGTACATTTTTGTTACGTGACTCAATCTCGCAGACAAAACAAAACGTTTAGATAATGATAATTGAACTTTGTTACAGGATATGATTTCAGCAATGTTAGAAAACTGTATTAGTCATTATCATCAAATTATGTTTTTTACTATCTTTTATTTACATTATTACATAATTCGAGAGTAGACTTTATCATCATAAGAAAAGGAAAAATACAAATTTGGTTACGCTATACTTTGACTATCTGGTGACCATATATCATTCCGTGCAACGAATAAACAAGTGCTTCATAATCGCGTGAGTATTCTTTAACGAGCGCGAACAAAAGCGTACAACAATCCATATTATTCCAAAACATTCCTGCTATTCCTAGTGTTTCGCAAGGAAACACGCATTATACTCATTCAAGAGTGATGCCAATATGGGAACATTTGATACAACCTTCACATGTTGTGCAAGCAGAAACAAGCACATAAACAAGAGCCAGTTCAAATTTAGAATCTTTTATTACAAAATAAATTATTTTTTTTCATTATTCACATAAATTATTATTCAGAAGGCAAAACATTAATAATTTGTAAATTGAGAAAACATTATGGTAGGTTGGTATTAATTGGATCTGCATTAAATTCATATTCTTGTGGAGACAGAATATGATCTAACAGAATATTGCCAATGGGAAAACCGACTAGAATCTACAATTTCATAATTGTTTAAAAGATACATTTCATTTAAATGATTTCGAAAGATTCTAACGTCAGATTCTACTCACTTTTTGTTCCAGTTAAGTTCCATTATACTCTGTCACTAGATTATGTCATATATATTTCTGTTGACATTCTGTTGTCAAAAAAAACTCTAGCAGGCACTTTAAATTTATTGATGACATATTTGGCTACCTACATATTGATGACAATACTCTTTCTTATGTTAAATTATAACCAAAGCCAATCTTCACAGCTTTGAAATATACGTATATACTTTTTATATATACTTTGAAAAATACATTTTTATATCACATCCTTCATTTTTTTTTACCTTACCATAATCCCTTCATTAGATCAGATAAGCAGATAAATCAGAAATCAATAAAATGTGCACTCTTTCCATTGTACGTAACATCCCATTGATGTTTAACAGCAAGAACTGCTTTTTCCTCTATTTATTCGTATGACGTACGTGACGTAAAAATTGGAAAAAATATTTATCAGTAAGCTAGGCGGATTTCACGCCCATTCTGGAGCGTTGTTCAGAGTCCAGCTACCACAACCTAACCTCACTTCTGTGCTATCCGCGGCTTCTTTATCTACGATGTCTTTCGACATCGACAGTCGGCGAGACTCGAAACAACCGACTCGCCGATCATCTGTGAAACGTGAAACGAACTTACGGCTCGGCGATGACCGGCGCGATTTTGAGTATCGTTGACAGGAAGGACTGGTCCTTGCAGACGAGGAGAGGCCTCTGCGGAGCGCTGTTCACGTTCAATATCCTGAACAGGATACACAGAATCACGGCGAACACGGCGAGTAGAGCCGTCGACATCTTTCCCCAGGTCGCCGGCGCCTGAAAGAAGACATTTCCCTTCTATTTTTCTGATCCGTTCCCTTTCTTTCTCGAAGTCTACGACTTCGTTTTTGTTCTTCCAAAGGAAAAGAACTCCTTCTCAAACATGAATCACTCGGAGTCTACACTGATTTTTTTATCAAACAATATTGACTCTTATCTCTAGAGATACTCGTGGCGTGTCTCACCTCTTTCTGGAAAGCGAAATTGGCTGTCTTCCTCCCTTAGATTATGCAGACCGATATTGGACCGGCTCATGCGATTGACCACGCTTCGTAACCTGCGAGCAGAAAACCAGTGCTGTCGTTTCATTAAGATTCCGCGATCGCGGGATTCTGTCAGATGATGTCAGATGACGGATACGTGACAGGCACTGGGGACGCAGAATGACGCGAACGCCGGGAAAAGACGCGAGCCGGCCGGAGGAATGCACTTGTCTCGCCGCGATCGGAGGTGCATCCTGGATCCCGCGAAAAGGCCGCATTCCGATTTACGCCCGTGGAACCATTCTATCCTTGTTATTTGTCAAATGTCAAAGGACAAATGATGTTTCACGAGCGGTCGCTACGCATTCGAGTACCAAATCGAAAAGTATTGCGCGTATCGGAACACGTGATACCTAAACCGGAGGTGCTGACTCGGATCACCTCATTACATTACGTCATTCTGCCTAGCACCGCACCATACATCGCAGGTACGAGAATCGTATCGACGGCGTGAAAGATCGATAGTGATAAATAAACTTGGCGGCACGCGCACTTTTTGAATCAATCGGCATTTATGAATTAAAAAAAAAAAAAAAAAAACACATACGAATTCGTTCTAATTTTTCACATGAGGAACGAACGAACGTTGTATCTTTTCTTTCGGAGCAAACGAAAGTGACAGTGCACACAGTGGATAGCTCGATCATTACGTCGTTGGTACACGGCGAGAAAAATTCGGCACTGGAGTATCATTATTTTTTTTTTTTTATATTTTGCATCGTGGCGTAACGGTTACTCCTCTCGCTTGCCCGCAAAAAAACTTTCTCCATTATCCCGAGATTGGCTTATCTCGCAAATTTGAAAGTTGAAGCGCAAGACTAACTATAACGTTGCACGCGGTTAATTAAATAATTAATCCCTCTATTTAAATCCACATAATTCCAGAAACGAATTAACCCTCGTTATTGCTTCCTTCCTTGTTAGCCTCCCTTGGCCTTAGAAAGACTCCGCGGAATGCGATGATAAAATGAAGAGATAAGGTGAATTTAGGAAGGGACCTAAATTGAAAAAAAACAAGGAAGAGACGTCGTCAAACCGTTGGTCCACGCTTTCCGAATCCTTTCGACGGCGTTTTTGAAAAATGCCCGGTTGCGTAGCGACCGCTAATTAAAGCAAATGTGTTATCGAGTTCTCCGGGGAATTCTCGAGTAAAACTGCATACCGTTTCGCTTTCGCACACCCTTCCGTCGCGGGCGAAAGAAAGAGAGAGTGCGCTCGAGAGGAGAGACGGAGGATTTAAGGCCGGAAACGGTCGGTTCCTGCTCACCGAATTGCGACTCGATCGGCGTATTACTGGACGGGAAGGCCGATAATAACGACGATGCGTTCTCGGCGACTTGCCGGCGTTTCGCGGAACGGAGCAGATCGACACGTGTCCACCGTACGTCCACTCGCGACGGGCTCCGCCGGGCGACTGACATCTGTGCGCGCCTGCAACAAACATGCCGCTGAAGAAGAGAGCGAAGAGAGGCCCGGCACGTTTCTCCTCCGCGATACATAATATATATTCGGGATTTATTGCGCAAAGCGGTAAAATGTGCATAAACTCGGAAGAAATATAGATGTTAGACGAGAAAGATTCCACCGGATAAATAATTAATATTATTCCGCGTGTTTATACACGCGTGTTAATATTTATATGCTTGATAAATATTAAATATTAGATCTTATTTACTCAAAAGAGATTTCATGACGCATTCAAGACTTTAATTGAGTATTTGAGGTAATTTCAATAGATGGAGATCATTAAATTTGATTGCTTCAACAATTTCAACAGGAGAGATAAATATGGTACATTATAATATGTAACATTTATAACGTGGTTAAAAAGGGAAATGTAAATTTGCATAAGATGTCATTAAGCGAGAGATTCCTCGTCTGATACGTTGATACTTATTTATTTTGTGTTATATAAGTTTCGATCAATATTCGTGCACTTATTAAATGTTAACATTAAAATACTTATAATATTATTATGTCTCATGTATGTATTATGTAACATTAAATTATTTAGACTTTAAACTGATTTCGATTTCTCAATTGATTTACAGTAAATAGAAAAAATAAATAGTAATTGAACATGTTTAGCCTGCACTGTTTTGTCAATATGAATTATTAATTTTATTTAAAGAAGCGATTGGAAATGAGAATGCTGAATTGTACAAATTAGAAATTTATACAAGCCATTATATTTCACATATATTTAATTCTCTTTATTATCATACATATATTTCTCTTTATTATCATACATATATTTATTTGTCATATTACATTATTTCTATATTTTTCGCGAGTTTCAGGTACAGTTTTTGGTTTTCTTCGGAGTGTATTTGTACTTACAGTTGAATCTTCAAGTTTTTCAACTTCTAAATATATAAGTAAGTATATTTAATGCTTAATAGATATTAAATATTAGATTTTATTTATCAAAATAGAATTCAAAAAATAGATTTAACAAGTTTTAATTGAATTTGAAATAATATCAGGTAATTAAATTTGATATTTGCTTTGATATTTCTATAAATAAATAGATGTAACGCATTTGAGTTTTATTATCTCGAGTTTTAAGTTATCAACGGAAACAAATCACGTAACAACATAGTGCATAGAATTAGCCTTGCAAATTTCATTTAAAGATTCGCGAAGTACGCATTTAAGGCCAAGAACATACATGTGGATTTGAAGGTCGATGACTTAAGGTTTCCCACGAGTAGTGTATAAAAATCGCTAATCGAAAATTTTTTCATATGCCCGCCGTTCAATGAACTCAACGAAGATCGAAATATAATTTGTTCTATTTTTTACACGAATATTTTTAACAGTAAAAATCTTTTTTCAATATCTCTTTTTACTTAATTTAATTGCACACAAAAATTATCATTTATATACATGATTATATGATTCTTAAATATGATTCTAATTTATGATCTGAATTCATTGATTTTTTTTCTCGAAATCTCGATAAAATAATAAAAATTTGAAACATTTAAAATAAATTTGAATTACATAAAAATTAAGCTTTCGCAGTTGCATATTCTTTGTTATTAGGATAAAAAAAGTTTATGATTAAAGAAAAGTCAAGTATGCAAATTTCTAATGTGTAAAAATCATATGCTGTTTCGTGTCGCTTCTGATTAATTCATTTCACCTTCTCCGAAAAGCGATCGATAACTTATTGATGTAATTGTCGCAAGTTGACATGGCAACGGGAATTTCTTATTTTCATTTCAAGTCTGCTTTTCTACCAGACGCATGAGAATGCGATAAGAATATGGTGAAAGAAAATTAACTAAATCGTTTCAAAATCGGTAATTAATATTACTAAAATCGATAATTATATTTACAAAATAAACAATAGACTTTATAAACATTATAACTTATAAACATTAGACTATCGCAATATTTAATGTGATTTATTTTTCAAAGTGATCGAATAATAATAGCAATGGGTGGTAAAGGCAAGAAAAAGTCTGGCACGAAGACGAATGGAAAAAATAATGGAAAAGGCGCTAAAGGTGGCAATGGCGGCAAAAGTAAAGGATCGAAGAAATCAAGAAGAAGCGGCGGAAAAGCACGATTCGCTATGGATATTTTTAATGAGGAGGTGATGGAGAATGCTTATTATACGTGCCACAACATCATGGATGTGCTGAAGTGCCGAGGTTTCCCGTGGCCAGAGGCTCAAAAGAAAAAGAAAGGAAAACGAAATAAATAGTTGTTTACATCTGCTCTTACAAAATATTGGAATATTTGCAATGTGACATAAGTATCCATTACATAAAAAAATCTACTAAATAAATGTCATTATATTAATGTTTCGTCTTATACTTCTAGTTTCAGTACTTAACATTACTTATTCTTAATAAGTTGTCAAAATGCTAACAAAACTATAAATTATCTTATTAAAGCCATGCATTTTCTTTTACATTTCATAAAAATATAAAGTAATTTTGAACAAACTTAATTAACACTCGTTATATACATAAAACTAAAAAAAATTTTTGTAATTTTGAGAATTTTTACGCCTTCGTATTTACATAAGAAATAAAATATTAATTTTTATGTCGCGTTCTTTTTTTTTATCAATTAGTTGACAACGCAAGATGATTGCAATAGTCCTCTATATCGAAATCAAATTTTTCTTCATCCGTGTTAACTGATCCATTAAAGACACAATGGACCGTCACTGTCTCGGCATACGATAAATCAGGCAAAAGCTGTTACAATAAAATTAATAAAAATTATCACATAACGAAAAATTATTAATATTATTGTTATACTTACTTTGGGTGTGAGCAAAAAGTATTGGGAGCTTCTTGGCCTTCCTGTCATTTTGACGAGTAAATTAAAGACTCGCCTTTCGTTCACTGCATCCATGCCCTGATAAAATTGTAAATAAATATTTCAGAAAGAAATAAATTACAGTAAATTAAATATTTTTTGTAGACATATAATAACCTGATTAATTTCATCCACACAGCGAAATGGTACAAGTGATAATTCTTGCAATGCTATCATATAAATAGCGGTAGTTACGGTTCTTTCGCCACCACTCTGAAAATGTCTCGTTAATTCTTGCAGTTCATCTGCATCTCGGAATTTTACTTTAATCTTTAAACCATACTGATCAAAATCCAGCTGAAATTTTTATCAAGTTATTAAAAACAATAAATGAATTTATATTATATACAATTATTATGAATTGGTACTTACGATGTTTTCACCATGCGAAAGTGTAACTTCTCCAGCACAGTCCATCGCGGAGAAATAAGCGCTGAAATTTGTGTTTATCTTTTCAATCAGTTGCTCCAACGGTCGCAACCACTTTTCTTTTAATTCTTCAATCTCTGTTTTCATTTTTTCTAGTACAATAGTCTTATTTTTGACAAAATCTGTTAATTTCTGAATATTATTTTGCATTTCTTCATATTCACGTAATATCTGAAAATAATAAAAATAAAAACATTCGACCTCTTTATTATGTCAATAATCTAAGAATTATATTATGCCATACTTACATTTTCGGCATCTATGTTTTTCGCCATACAAAAAACTTTTGCTTGAGCAATATTCAACTCGTTATTTATTTCAGCTATAGTAGCGGGTAATTTTTCAAAAGCTTTATTCAGAGATTTAAATGCATTATCTTGTGGACTAATCTGATTCGTAATTTCTAATGCTTCTTTATATAACCTTTCAGTTTCTCTCTTTAAGGACTGAAATTCTTCATCATGTTGTTTAAATATCTCCTCCGCTGTTGTAAATTTATCATTTAATTCTTCGACATCGTTTTCTTTAGCTGTTAAAGTCTGTTGTAGTAACGTTATTGCAAATTTTATTTCTACATTACTCGTATTACAGTTGAAACATTCTTTTAGAACTGTATTATATTCTTTGTACATTTTTAATTGTTTCATTATAACAGCCTGTAAAAAATTTATTAAATGTAAATGCGTTTTGTTAAATATGTCTTTGAAAATAATATACTATACATTATTAAAAAAAAACCTTAATCTCGTTGGTGCACGCTGCTTTTATATCATCAATACTCGTTCGACCCATTTCCATCTGTTTGATTTTATCTGCAGCTACGTGTATTCTACTTTTTAATGTTTGAATGTGCTGGATATTTTGTTGATATTTATTTCTGTTGATCCGATATTCATCTAACACTTTAGTTTCCTCGCGTATTTTATCTTCTATTTCTTTAATTTGAATTAAAATTTGACTTTTCTTTTCTTGTAAATTTTGTAATCTACAAAAAATACATTAATAAAAATACATTAATTTATTTTATCTATTTTTTAATCAATTAACATACCGTTCTTGAAGCTTCTGGAGTTTCAACTTATCTAAAACAATAGATAACATCCCATTTCCAGTGATCCGTGATATTCTAACTGATATTTCACGTGTATATTTAGATGTATTCACAGAGTAAATATTGTTTTCTACAAAGAAAATTCTATAGAAAATCTTTGAAAAATTTCAAACAAATTTATGAAATCCAATTTCTAGAAGATATATCTCACCACTGAAGTAACAACTTAAATTGCGAGGTATATGGTTTGTATTGTTCTCGACTTCTTTAGTTCCAATAGGAATATTATTTAAGCGATACATCGAGATTAAATATTTCATTATGGAAGGCGGCACTTCAATAAGTTCTGACAAATAATGTTTGAAGCCAAACTTTTTGATGTTTTCTATTGGTATATGTGGTTGCATAGAAATTCTTTTCATTGGATCAGAATGTAATACATTAACTTGCAATTTTTGTTGATCCCTCAAATATTTTAGTAGCAGATTCATATCCTGTTTATTTTCGCATGTAAATGCAATTAAATCTCGAAATCGTATTATATTTTCTAAATATTTGGCGTACGAAGCCTCTTTTACATTAATATTGAGCAACATGGGTAAATGAACTGGTGCTGAAAATTTATCTCGATTCTCTTTTAACCAAAGTACAGCTTTATATGCATGCAGGTCTCGTTGCTTCAATACTTCTAAACGTTTCACATCGATATTCAATGCTTGAAGTTCCGCTTGT